GACAATCGTGGAGACACACATGAATAAATGAGTGAGGATGCGGCGGGGGGTGCTGTTTAGAGGGAGAGATGAGGCCCTTCATGGTCACCTTATCGCTGTAAAACATGTGATCTCCAGCAACAGCGTCCAAATCTCTCGCACAAACATTCACTTAAACGCTTTGAATCGCATTTCATCCGGCTTTTCTTGCCATTTGTGCGCTTTCAAGTCTGCGAAAGCTGTTTGCGTTCCCCCATTTTCCAGCAGATCATTCACTCGGGTTCGTCCCTGTGAGGAGAGCATTTATTTTGGTCCCGAACAGAAAAATCTGCCTTTCCCCGGTCTTCTTCCACTCTGCCAGGCTGCCACTTGCTGCTGTGGTGGGTTTTTAAAAGTAGTTTTCTTTTGAGAACAACTCCACCGTGGCTGGAAATTATGCCGAGATCTGGGAGAGCGAGACAACGGGAATGCTGTCCGAAAACCATGAGCGGTCAGCTCATGGTTTCTTAGTCTTTTGTTACCGGCAACCTTTTCCAGAAGTAAGCTCTGAAAAAAACTCTCACCAACTCACTCAACCATCATCTTTATCATTGTTATCTTTACAAAGCCATTACTAACAAATTTGTGTTATAGTTTGCGAAGTTCGTAGAGATTTCCGTCTTTCTGGTCATGACAAACCAATTCAAGGGGCTCAAATCTAAATGGACTAATTAACATAATTATGTATGAAAATTAAATTTTTGATGGTTTGTTGGGAATCCTTTGAAGTCTGTGAATCATGGACATCAAAGGCAGTGATTAGTCCTTTGTGATGCTCTGCCAGGCCTTTAATGCCGCTGTCTTCTGCTATGACTTGATCTGGTTGAGAGCAGGTTATTGACTCAGTTACTGCAGAGTGTTTTTCAGCTCCAGCGTCGGATCTCCTGGGATGCTTTTGCAGTGTGTTCCACATCACCAGCCGCCTCTACTTTGAGGCTCTGGCCAATCAGTTGTGCTGCATTCAGCAGGATGTTCTGGTATGTTTGCTTTTAAAGTCAAGTTGAGAAAAATGTCCAATACGAAGAATTTATGGTTTTACTTACCAACTTCTAAGAGAACATCAGTGGATCTTTATGGATTTATTGACGGTATATTAGTCTCTGTCTGGTGATTGGAGGAGTTTTTGTCCCTCTGCATCCTCTGTGGTTATTCCTCTGAAGGACCCCCCCCCCCTCCAGATTTTCAAATGTAGATCTATTGGAGGTTTGGATCTCAGTCTTGTTCCAGACGAACGGCCTCACATCTGACTCTGAACACTTTGGCATCCGGAGGAGTTCATGGTATGAGCGGAACCAGCCCAGGTCATCATACCTCCCCCGCCGTGCTGACAGCTGCTCTGAGCTGTCTGAGTTTGGTTTCTGTGAATCTGACCGAACATCTGCACGTTGCTCCACAAGTTAAACCTTTTCTTTCCCCTCCTGCAGCCCAAGCAAACAAACACACCTTTTTTCTGTCCTGACCTTTGACCTTTAACCTGCTAAACGGAGGCCTGTCGAGTCTGAGACGTAGATCCTGGGTTTCTGACCTTGGGGTGACGTTGCCGGGACGTTCACTCCTGGGAATATTGAAGCTTTCCCACTCATGAATAATCTTTTTTCTGTAGCTTTTATGAATTTATCCTTGTTTTAGTGACCATCCACGACCAGTTTCAGCTGTTCCCCTTCTCTGGTTCAGCAGGACAACAATGAATTGTTATCAATGCAGAGTTAGATTTTGTTTTCTGTGATGGACTTGTGCGTTTGCAGTCTAATTCCACATCTCAGCTTCTTTGATCACACGCAGTGAACTCAGATTCAACGCGGACACGTTCACCCGCTCGGTTTCTGCCAAAGTCATGATGTAAGAACCCTCGACTGGCAGGTAACAGCTCTTAAAGAAGAGCTGCCTCCATTTCAGGTGGGACTTTACTCCAATTAAAGGCGAGCATTCATTATAGCATTTATACCAGAACGTTTTGAGGGGCAGTGGGACGGAACAGACTGTAATTCTCTGGCTCTCACCAGACCTCGCTGTGCGTTTGAGTTTAGTTAGAACATCCTGAGCTTTCATTGTGTCTTTTTGCATTCATAGATAAATGGAAACTGAAGTAATTTCCAAGGACAGCTCCGGTCCACCGTGGATTGCCATATTTGTCTTCTACAGGGGGATAATGTAACATTCAGGGTCTTGTGGTCTTGATGGAATAAGTTATTATTTTTCGTGTTGGTGGGGGATCTTGATATAAATCCTCTGTGCCGCAGACCTCCATTGTTATCGGAGAACTGTAGCACAGGCTGACGTGTTGCTTCATTTACATACATCCTGCTGCATCAAATATTCAGAACAGCAGCACATGTGGATCCATCTGCTGGATCCACGTAGTCCCTATCTAATTAACTTCCTTCTGGTTGGAAAAAAAGTATGATTAGAATTACAATAGCTGTTGTTTGGGAAACTAAAAAAAATGGAGAGAAAACAAGTTTAATCAACGTTGGCCCCAAACACAATAATTTGTCATTTTTGTGAAGACGCTTGAATATGTGAAGAGAATTTTGTGGTACAAAAAGGAAACCGTTAAAGGAAAAATTCAAATAGGTGCACAAATGGAGGATTTTTTCTTTTTATT